CGCTGTCGTATTTGTTTATCCTCTTTCAACTCTTCTTCGTATTTCCCAATTTCCACTGTATTCTCGTGTACTCGCTGAAAATTCACCTATCGCCAGCATAAAGCTTAGTTTGACTTGAATGACTTGACTTGGTTTGAGCGATGACCACAGGTGGCTTTGGTGAATTTAGTACCCATATGTGCGTTTGCTTTAGAGAGATCGTCGGTTTCCAATCCGTGCTTGACTACTTCCCCTCTGTCCAACGTGTAATATAATGGCTTACCGAGATCAGTAGTGGACGTTCCAAACCATTCACAAATAGAATAAAAACACAACCTTAGAAGCCCATGGAACGTAGTACACTAACAGTAACTTCAGTTTTACATACGTGCATGCATGTACCTTGAGAGGGAGAATATGTGTGCAGACAAAAGTTGGCAAAATATCGTGAATTAGTGTTGTATTCTGTGTCACTTTACGCAATGTACCACGCAACAACATGACCTTTGAATACAATCCTGTTACACGCAGATACATAAAGATCAGATCGGATGAGTTTTACAATAAACGTGCACATCTAAATGACCATCAAGTGTTAAACTGTTTTGCTAAATTGTTTAGTAGAGTATTAGTTATACAATGATTGGATTGTGAAAACTTTGAATCACTAATTCACCGAACATTTATCTGATAGACGTAATTTCATCGTTATTAGGATGAAAATATTTAGAAACGAAAAGACACTGGTCCTCCGGGCCTGATGTATGCAATTTGGGAACACCTATCAGGGGGAACAATAGTGGGATTCTCTTCAAATATTGCCTTCCTAACCATGTTTTAAAGTATCTCTATAAATTTAAACATATACGTTTCACACGCGAAGAGACGCCGTGCCTGTCGGTGATGGAATAGCAGTAAAATCAGTACGCATATGCTGCCGCACGGGAATCAAAATCTTGAGTGCTTCTACTGCTTTTCACTGTCTATCAGCCTGCGGGAATGCTGTTCAACAAATGCCCACTTGTAGAAATTAGAGCAGCACTCCTAACGCCGTTTATTCGAACTTGATTCAGTTTGCGTGATTGTTGTTGTCAGTGAATGGAATGTGCCACAGTTCAGTTGGAAGAAAATAACCTCGTTATTGATCAAGTGAGTAGTTTTATCAGCGCCAAATAGAATACTGCATAATTCTTGAAAAACCGTATTTGTTTCGCCGTTTGTCTCGTTTCGGCTGAAGCCAAGTGGTGTTAGGTTGACGGAAATATTTTTGCCACATAAAAGGAACTGATGCCGGGTGTTGTCTAAAACGAACTTCATTGAACCGTGATACACTGATCTCATTATTGGAATCACTGAACTGTCTCGTGCAGTAGTGTTTGTGTGAAGCGTTTGTTGAACATAAAGAGGGATGCTACGTGAGATTCTCAAAAGCTTTCGTAACTATACAAACGGCCAATTCAGCTATCTGATTTGGTACACAAGTAACACTTGGGGTTCATATCTGGTGCAGTCAAATCAAGTGAGGAATAGAGTAAAAACGTTAGGCCTATGTACCGTGTATATTATGGTTGCTTCAACTAAGGTTATTTTGGTATCCCCTTCGGTGGTAGCATTCGTTGACCTGAAATGAAATGCGACTAAAACGTTCATTTTTTTCCAATCTTTTTTGCTCAAATTTGTCTAAACCCGGTATATAACAGAGAGCGGGCATGTGTAACCCATTTCAGCGATGTGCTGCTCGCCAGGTTGTTTTAATCCTTTTGTGCACGGTTTCCTAACAATCCAGTTTGTAGGCTTATTGTGCGCAAGCAAATTTGCTCTACTTAGCACCAGCCTCCTGCGATCCGAAACAATGCGAAATCGACTACTGTGATGCATGGGGCATTGTAGTTGATTGTACATTGACGTTTGTCACATACATTTGAGTTTGTTTCCTTTCCTGAGTGGTGTTTGACTATCGTCGCAATCGTGTTTTTGAATGAGCATCAAGTCAGAAACCAATAGTCAGTTTAGGGAAACATAGGAACTGGGAAGTGAGCATCGATTTAACCTCGGGCAAGTTGTATTATTTTACTTTCTTAAATCTGGAACAACTGATCACACACCTCTGGATCAGGTGGGGGATAGTATGTAATAATCACAGGCTGACCAATGATAAGAAAAGTAATAAAACAATACAATAGTTGCTACCTGAAACCCTTGGGCACCACATTGAGGCCGTCGTTGAAAAAATTATGAAACGGATGCCTCGTAAATGTTTACATTCTTATAAGTATCTATGGTTGTATTTGTGCTTATGATCGATCGAGTGGCGCCGATCTGCGAACTATGGTCCAAGCGTAGTTATGATATAACACTCCATTGTTTTGCAATGTTGCCATAGCTACACGAGACCCTAGAAACGCCCTTATAGACCGACATTGGACTCGGTTACATTGGTACACTTGTATCTAATGAGTAAAATTACGTGATTTTTTGTCACTTGTTAAAAGCAACGCACATTCATCTGATTTGTTGACCTTATTGATCGTTTTGACTGAGGTGTAAATTCACCGTGCCTGTCTCGCGCTCGGCAGCTCTGCGTTACGTTGTGCCTCGAGCCACTGTCCACAAAAGAACTATGTGGAATTTCTCGCAACCGTTCATGTCAAGGTCATCAGACGAGGTGATTCGCATGAAACGCGTGTGGTTCACCGCAAAGTGACGTTTTTATTGCATTGCTTATAATGAAGAGGGAGTGTTGTATGTGTGCTTCACTGACAGTCTGTCAGGCAAAGTACGAAACAGTCGCAAAGTTGCTGCATCCACTGTGCGAATTGGTCAAACAAAATAAGCACACACAACAATGTTTACAATGCATGTGATCAACCCGTTTTCACAGTACTAGTAAGCAATGGTTAAGCGACTTCAAACACTTGTTGAACTCAAACAAAGCCTAATTTGCCGCCAGCATTCACGTAAATACTTATTACTGCCTCACATAAAATACTGCTATTTCGAAAGCAAGGACAACCGGATCACAAAATTATCATAATCAACTAACATGAAGTATCATCTCGTTCCTATCCAAAATTTATCAAAAAGTACTAGAATTATACTGCTCTCAATACTGTCAATAACTGTAACGGAGGTTCAAAGATTCATCCCACCCATTTGCCTACCCAGGATACCAAAGCTGTACAAATCCATGGTAAACCATTCTAACAGCACTGATCGTATAGCATAGTTTGTGCTCTCCAGGGAAAATTTCTTCTGTTGCCTATCTCTCACTTCACCGTGAATGAGTTACAGAAAATGAAACGTAAAATGTCTCTTTGAAGTTACAATAAAATTTGACATACACATTTATATGATCCCATAAGTATACTTCCTCAACCTTTCCAGTTAAAACACTACCAATGAATGGGTACAAAAACAGTTCATCGAATTATGGTGGTCAGCATACTACGTACTGAACACTATGAAAATTAGATGTAAACAGTGTCACTATCTAAAGGGTTTCCGATTTTTCCACTTAAACAGATCACCAAGAATTAGTCACCCATATTGTAGACGAAGTGAGCGTAACCCTTCCAGCCAAACTCAAATAAAGTACAGAATGTGGGTGGGAAGCGTAAGAAACGTGTAAGCTCATCATTGCTTAGCATTACTGAAAACCATTGCGAACGACTTTTTACATCCATGCTCATCAAACTTACAGGACAGGTTAGGTCTAGCAATTATTTTATCGCCGTCATCACGTGTGTCATTAGTCCACTAATATGTCCTAGGTGACGGCTTAAGACGTAATATGTATGCACCCCAAAATATCGTTGTCCTCGATGAAGGAGTCAACACAACTTCAAATATGCTAGTAAAATCGAATATTAGTTGGATAAAAATACAAATTTCCTTTAATTGGGAAGTAACCCCTTATTCAGTAGTTCGCAATTCTAATTTATACACCTCGTCATTGTTATTCGGAGACAGATAACCATCATTGGTGAATCAGTTCAGTGACGCAAATTTCCACACTAGAGACAACATAAAACTATTCCTTCCATATAACTTATTGCGTGATTGAGTGTTCTATTATCCTTATTTGTGCGTGTGAACTTCTTTATTGTTGAACTACTGCACTTGTGAATAAACAGTTATGACTACCGAACGGAGTGTTGAAGAGCCGGTGTTGTTGTGGCGTTGAACAATTTTTCTCAGATTCAGCAGTGATAAAGACTGTGATAATCTAACCATTTGGATGGTCGAATGGGATCTGTGGATGTGAGAATCACACAATCGCTGCTTTTGTCGGAGTCACACAGGTTTGTGACATTCATTTTCGTTTTATTTCCTTTCGTTGAGTATGCAAAGATAGGAGGGGGAAGCGGCAATCAAAAGGCTGACATAGAACACATTATGGGGTAGGATAGGTGGTGGTAGTGGGACTCGAACACATCCTCCAAGGTGATAATTGGTGACGTTACCTCCGGGTCACCATCGATAGAATGAATATAATTCATATTTTCTGGTATACAGAATGCCACTCTAAAGTGGCACAGTAAGCCTGGTCGTCCTGAACCACTTCAGCTCATGAGACAAATTAATATGTGAATATTATTTCTGACTGTCTATACGCGCTCGTATCCATTCTCGTGTGCCTATGTATACGTAATTTTTGTTGGATTTCACTGGGTTACTCAAAGGATCTAAAACATTTGTTTCAATATCATAAAAAGAGGAACCGTTAAATTCTTTTGCAATAATCGAGTGACTACATTTCAACTGGTAGCCCGTTGTACTGCTTTACTTTACGGATTGCAAGTGGTTGGACCCTGGTGAGCAAATCTTTCAATTAAAAAGTCCAATGAGCTGATTTCCTAAATGGATGATTACTCACTGAAAAGACTTATTTTTCGGTTTTTAGGTTGTGTTTCTTCCAAGTTTATCGCGTACATTTTTACATTCCATTATAAGAACGTCAGCTATACAAGAATAACTCAACTTATCATTCAAATATTTTATACAAGATTTTGTTACTTTTCCTAGCAACCTTATTTATTGGTGGTATTTGTAAGCTTCGATCAAACTGTATCTCGTCGTTGATTACACTATCAGTGATCAGTATCGGCACGATCAAAGGTCTATCGGAAGGAAAAAAGAAAACTCCCCAGCTGAACAAACCGTGAATGCTGATGGGAGCTTTGAAGATTCAGTGAGACAAGTAATTGAACGGTATCTGGCACAAAAATTATTGGTGGTTCACCTTTCATATGTCGTCTGATTGTGATAAACAACTCAGTTTTTCCATCGAATGCATCAAAACTGTTATTGAATCGCAAATTTGCTAGGAATCCGATGAACGGGAAAAGAGCAGCTGAATTTTTCATCATTATTTCAGAACTCCAGTTCCCAAAATCAGAATAAAATATTTTCTTCCTCATTATATTGTAATTAAAAAGACTTTGTTGTACTTTTACACTTCAAATAGTTTTTATCAATAGTATTATGGGATAAATGTGACTAGTCAAACGTTGACGCTGTTGTTATCAGTTACAATTATGCGTTCATTGTAAAACTAACATGATTTTTATCTTTTCCTTCCACTAGGTATTACCCATGAATCCAAATCAGTTTACCTGCTTAAAACCCAGGAGTATTCATCTGATTTACTCGTATCGAGATCTAAATTATGTAATTTGTCTTTCGAAGTTTTGTTAATATGTAGAGCTAATTTGATGATGAACTTGAAAGGTATTTTTTCGTGTCCCTCAAGGAATACTGTGCCGAATGAAGTCACATTCATGTACATATACATCACTAATCCGACTGGTTAAGCACCTTGCATTCACGTGATATTTAAACGGTGATTGCGATCGATGATGCAAAAGAGATTTGAAAGTCTCATATTATTTACCTATTTGATTTACTCTGACACTAATACGAATGGCATATTCAGAAACGGAACAACAAATAAAATCTTTAAAACCTTATTCCTATATGGAAGAAGCGTTGTGTAAAGCGGCAGCCAGTGGAAATCTCGGCCTAACCGCGCGTATTTTGCACGAGCGTGTCGATCAGAATTGCAAAGATGAAGTTGGCAGATCACCGTTGCACTATGCTGCACTGAATGGACACTTTGAAATTATTCGTTTGCTTTTGAGCAATCGAGCCACAGTGGATGTGGCTGATGCGAACAATGTGACCCCGTTGCACTTGGCTGCTCGTAAAGATCATCTGCGTTGTGCGCAACTGTTGTGCATGGCCGGAGCGGACATTCTGAAAACATGCGCCTCGGGCTGTACACCCCGAGATCTGGCCCCCTATGATTCACCGACTTGTTATTTTCTGGAGCGTTGTGAACTAGGTGACAAACCGAAACCAAAAATTCTATTCCAGCGAAACTCAAAATCAATAATCCGTCGGAATATCGGATCTAGAATGTCCACGTCCGTGTCCGGTGAACAAAAATCATCCAAGAGTAAAGATATCAAACGAAAAGGCAAATAACACGAGCGTTAGTAGGAGAACCTTACTTTCACAGACATTTCAATCCCTGTCCTTTAATGAGGAGCGGATGGATAAGACAAGATATATTTTCAAACAAGAGGAACAAAACATGTAGAAAATCGATGCTGTGATGCGAAAATAAAAAAGAGGCATATTATGGGCGGATGAATCACAGATAAGCCCTTGTTGTTGTTGTTGTTTTTGTTGCTGTGGTGTTGATGTTGGTGCTTGGACTGGTTGATTGGTTGGTATTTCATTCAACCGCATGCGGTAGTTTGTTCGTTTTTCTTTTCTCTTGTGAAGCGTAGTCGTAGAAAATAAACAGAACGGCGACGGCGACGGCGACGGCGAGGACAACGACAGCGAAAATAAGGCTTCTGTCACAAACAAAATACATGCTGCTGAATTCGTTCTGTGTGTGTGTGCGTGCATCACGTGGCTGTCAGATCCGCCACGGGGTTGTGCAAATCCAGAGCTGCATTATCGAACGCGTAATCATTTTGCACCCGGCTGTTCGCTTTTCCATTACCATCCTCGTCGTCTTCATGCAGAACTGTATCACCGGCGAATCGCGTTCGTGGATTGTTGGAAACACTGAGTCGTTTAGAATTGCTAAATTGTGGACAATTTCGGGAAGAGAACAATGAAAAATTGGGGTGATTCATTTGCATAATTTGCCAAACTACACATTTGAGGGAATGGGATACGAGAGAATGCGCAGTGTTCTGTGTTATTGAAATGGTGGTATCCAAGTGTGAATTCTTTAAGAAAAAACGGTTTGTAGGACGCATTTTACCCATTGAATTCAGTTCCGAATTTTATAATACGAGGTTTTCATTTAACTTTTCAGGTACTTTATTGAAATTCACTGAATCAAACTATCATTCGAAATATGCGAAATTGATTGTTTTATGAAGGCTTTAGTGGGATGTTAGTTCGATGCTTCCTATATTGATCACGGAAGTTTTCAGTCAGGGATTAAAAATGTACGTCGCTTCTGTTGCCAGTTGTTGTTATCGCTGTCCAAATCTGTTTCAACTAACCTTGTCAGTTTGGCATTGTTATTCTTTTCATATATCCGGTATAGACGAGCTCACCTCTGCAAAGCCATTCCCCTTGCACCTGCTCAAGAATAAACTAGGATGCACATAGTATATTTTGTAGATGAACTTAAAATATCGGTATCATTGATGTCGGTCATTTGCTGGCACTCAGTTGTCCAGCGAAACGAAGCTTCATCCCCAGTCGCCAAAATGGACAAATCCTACATTTACGAACTTTTCGACTAGAAGAAGCAACAACATATGTATATAGCACCGGCTTGTGGACAAGCATTCTAAAAAAGGATTTATTTTTATTCCTGTAGAATAACGTTGTGACGTCCAAAACGGGAATTGAAGAGCTGCTTCATTCATGCTGAGATTCACCAGTTCAGTTTAAATCACTTTTTACGACCATTAGGCACGCATCATTGTGAGACTTGTCAGCATTGCGTACTATCTTGATATTTCTGCTGGGACTAAAACTATGAACCGTCTTGCTGAAGCTGAAAACCGCGATTCAGGAACAACGTTGTACAAACCGTGTGTCTGTCACTACCCACAGAATAAAATGAAACTTTCCCACTTGATCCATGTGTTTTTTCAAACGCGCGAATAGAATTCGACAGGACTGGCAAAAGTTGGTGTCCAATTTATCAAATTTAATTAAATTTACTCTGGACAGATACAGGGGAGAAAAACTTCCAAAAAGTTTAAATATATAGCAAACACACTGGGATTTCGAATAAAACCAAAACCGTGTGATAAACGTTTGTTCTTAAAAGTATCGTTTCAACAGTGTTGCATGAGTTTCATCTAGACTTGATTTAACATTACTATTGTGCTCATGAAGTTAGCTAGACAAATTTTACGAGGAACCATTTATTAAATCGTGGAATACATAAAGAGACTAACTTTAAATTCATTTACTATGACTTTTGACTCAGTGGGGCACACTGTGCTCTCCCAAAGATTTTATCTGATAGCGGTGGAAATAGAGAAAGTGAACATTCATCAAATTACATTTTTATGATAAGAAAGAATCAAAAATTCCGGACATCAATCACAAAAAATACAGACATCCCACAGATTTTATGAACTCATTCGTTGATTCATGGATGCAAAAAAAGGAAGCGATAACATCGAACGACAGCGGAACGGGGAGAGATTTGGTGAAGGATAGATGCCGTTGAGGGATGACTTGCTCCATCATTTCTGGGCCACAAGAAGGGATTGCGGTAAAATTCATGGATTCCGAAATCACAATGGTCTTGAAGAGTCCCCAATCACTGGAAATAGATCCCTTTATTGGAATCAACATTTTGGGTTTACTTGATTGAACGCAACAATTTAGTTCGTTGAAAACAGTCCCACTACATATTTATCGTCCGCCTAATCGGGCACAAGATTCTCAGCGAATGAGTAAACAAACGCGGCATTTATTTCAACAAATTTTGCAGTCTGCATTCAGCTGAGTGACGTTTTCGCATAAAAGCCGAATATCCAGGTAAGCTTTTGTTGTCTGTACTCCAAATACGATGAACGATAACTGAAGTTCATGGAAATCTTATTTCATTCCTCACGATGGCCTGGACCCTCCTGGATTTTCACGGATGTTCTGTATGAGGTCCCAAGAAGTTCCTTTTATATAAGCTAAATGGCCAATTAATACTAAGCGGATATTATAAATCGGAAATCGAGTTTTTCGTATCCGTCGAAATTTTGTTTTCATTTGTAAGTGGTGAACTAGGAACAAGCAACATGTAGCAAATGCTTCAGAAAAGGTGCATAGTTAAATAGTTAGTTTCAAGAATGAACGGTTATATGAGTGTTTAAGGCGTTCAGATTCAACACTGCGCTTCTTAACACATTTACTTTAAAAAATGGAGTGGAATAACAAACTGGCATTTCTAGATGCCTGCACCACCTTTTGATCAGATGGTTCGGTGCAGCGTTCCGTGCATAGAAAGGCAACTTTGAAAGACCAATAAATCCTCCACTTCTAAAGCTTTGTACCGCTTAAGGTAAAACGAACCTGGATCGCTGCCTGGTGGACAGGGCAAGAAAGATCTGTAGTGAGGACACGCTTAAAGAAGAGCTCCGCGCAATACGATCGATCTCTGCACGTAACGGGTGTCCGGGATGTTTGGTCAACAATATGATTCCGTGCACAGAGGACTCTTTACAAACCATCAAGGTTAAGAAAATTCCGTGTACTTTTTTCACCGTTCATCAGCTGAGATCATACAAAGAAAATTATCCGATACAATCGATAAAACTTTCTATGCATCCAAGCTTCCTGTGTTGCTCACGTCCAAGCCAATGGTGTTCGCGAGTGAAGGACAAAATTGCCTACCCTGCGATCCCATTCTGTATATACCTATTTACTTATTCCTTTGGAAAACCGCACATAAGCCGGATGGTCAGACGATTGCCCTAACGGATTCGTGAACACCAACCTGCGTGGCTGAACACCGGAACGACTAGGTCACTCACCGGTGCAGTGGTTTCACACCTAGCTGAAACAAATCACACAGTAGAGGTATCCGAGGCTTTCCACCCCTTGTATACAGTTCGCGGGTAATTATCGAGGTAGAGTTCGCTGTTGGATGCTGGCCACAGTAGAACTGATGGGCATTCTATGCGCCGAAAAACAATTTATGCAATCGCTAAATCTTCTCTGGCCCACCACCATACACACACCGTATCACGAGTAATCTCCATGATCCAATGAGTGGACAAACAACTGTGTGATCGTGGTGAGTCTGACTGACGGTCTCATGATGAAATCATTTCTAGTAACCTGTGATTTGATTTGATTTCAATAAGAATTTTATTCCCAAGTAGTGGTGTATATTGAGATGAATACGAATCTATAAAAACGAGCTTTTTGGCCACTCTGATTTTGCAAAATGTTTCACGTTAAGGTGATATTGTTCACTGATGGAAAGAGACTTCATTTCACACTTCGGGAGAGGGTTGTTGTACCCAGTCATCACTCTCTTTATCATACTGAAGTCCATCTCAATTGGGAGGAGCAAGCATCTGAATGACCAAAATACATAAATAAATACATAAATGTTCCCCATTCACAATAGAGATTACGAACGGTGTGCATCGAAAAACGTCGATGTTTGATGGAGTTCAGTATAAATGCGTGATGATGGTACCCTCGCGACGATCAGATCTGTGACCAGGCAATCAAACTCCATTGGAGAGAAGTGGAAAGTAGCACGA